GAGCATGACATGTTGACTGACTCACTCCCCCCTCCCCTCTAATGTCAATGTTGATGACGCAGATACGTGATGCAGGATGTCGTCCATTCGCCATACTCAGATTCAGGGTTTGGAAGGGATGGGCCGTACTTGAAAATCGATGCAGGATTTCGTCCGTCAAGAGTATTAGTTGTACCTTACCCAAGGTGGAGTTGCCTGTTGTTCTGGATCTAGATCGTTCTCTTCGGGTTGGGCCCACTGTACCTCGGCAAAATATTCCGCTGCTGTTGATGGAAAATGTTTTTCTTTGGTGAGCTCACCATGCTTGTTTTTGAATTTGTAACGTTTGGGTGGGAAAGTCGTTCTTGCTTTCTTTCTCGCTCTCTGCCGTCCGATTTATATCCATCCCGTGTGATTTCGTCAAGTTCTTGTAGTAGCACCCGTTCTTTGTCTTTTTTCCTTGCAAACGAATAGTTAAGCCTAGCCTGGAGAGTTTAATTGGCTCTCTCAAGCTATTCCGGCCTTCTTCAAGATGGCAACCAGGAAGTCGGCCAACTCCTTTTTGGGCTGCGAGCTTTTCAGCAAAAGTGGCTGGCAAAAGTTCAGACAGGCTGCTCCGCTTCTTCTGCGCGCCGCGTCGTACATGTTTGGTAAGATAAGCCCTCCGGGTTCTTCACCAAGCCATCTCAAGAATTCGTTGTCACCGCCAGTCCTACCACATCCAACACTTTCGAAGCTGCACATGTGAGGCTTGGCTTTCTTTAGGCGTAGCTCCTTCTTTTCAGCTGCAAGTATCGGTCGGTCAGCAATGACGATAGGAACACAGTCTCCAGCACACAGATCCCGACACTCCACAGGTCCATCGACACAGCCAGAACCACCTGGGAAACGTGCGCAATGGGAACAGGATCTTGTATTGACTTCTACTGCAGAAGTTCTTCTCTCTCCGAGGCACTGGGCAATGCTGGGCGTTGCCAGGCCCCGCTTTCAGGTAGGCTCTGGCCAGTTCTGGTGCCATGTAAGGTGGTGTGAAGGTGACGTCCCCGTATCGCACAGCAACCTTGAGCCGGCATTCACAAACTCTGTCTATCCTGCCTCGAGCAGACCAAAGCCCTTCACAGATGAAGGGAAGAACGCATTTGACGACAGGAACAGAATGTCAGACTGTCTCTCGCTGAGTCATGGCATCGCCAGCAAGCCCTCTGAAGCCTCTGAAACTAGTAACTTAAGAAGAACTTGCACCTGAAAGTGCACACATTACCGAAACATGTCAATACCTCGTTTTGCCAAGAAGCACCAGCCCTTACTGCACAGTCCTGAGACAAACCAGCAACTGTGGCTAACAGTCCGCTGCCACCCTGCAACAAAAAAGCGTGAACCCTGCATGCAAATACCTACAAATCTAAAGCCAGCTCCGGACATGGGTTTCCTGAGATTTCTGGTGATGCTGTGTAGGATCGCATGCTTTCCCTGTCCCTGAACAAGCATGTCACACGGCCATTCCGGAAAGACCAACTATTCTATGCGAGGCCGGGTCTGGCGATGAATTGGGGTTTGCTCCATCTGTCAGTCCCACCCTGCTACCATTCCCTGCTTCGGCAACTGCACACGGCTGACAGAGAGTTCATGATGCTCGTGCAGCAAAGCATCCAGATCCACCAACTTCCACTGGCATCTTTCACCTGAAGCACCTAGAGCAAGATGCGACCCAGTATCTTTGCATAGCCGCTCTTTCTGTCTGCTGCAGCAACTGCATGGATCTGCATGGTGCTAGGACAAGGTGCCCTTTAGAAATCTGACGATATTCGAGGGCTTGATGTCCAAATGAACCACGCCATGTGATTCCAACCTAGAGCCACTCTGGGCAGTGGGCGATAGCAGCGGCAGCAGAGCACTTCCTGCAGAGGGGCAGCTGGCAAGCCAAGGACACCAGAGCCCAATGAAGCTCGCGGAGCTCTGTCAGGGAAAAGTGCCTCTCTTCGCGGCACCTGTTCGCCAGCACATCCTCCTCAATGACAAAACACACGCAAGCGCAGGTTCCCAACTTCCAACACTCTACAGATTTCGGTGCAACTTGAACCTCTCGGTACAGGCGCGGGAAATAATAAAAAATGTCAGTGGCAAGCATAGAGCAGCAAAGCTTCAAGTGACTCAGCACCGAGCTCCATGACTGTAAACATCACTCCATCCGAATCAACCCCAGGGTAGCCACGGCTGTCCACGGAATGGCCCATGATGTCCACAGTCCACAGGCCGCCGCTCCCTGAACGACGAAATCACCCAACTTCACAAAATCTTCCAAACAAGTCTTCTTGCGTGAGGCCTGCAGGCTGACGGCCCATCGGACGTTTCAGCCAGGAAGACATCTCGATGCTGTTGTGAAAGCAGTGTTGGCACATCCTGCAGGTGCTGCATGCATCCCTGCCACAAAGCGACTTACACTCAGGCGAAAGCACAGCAAGTCACTGTAGTCCTGTCGGTGTCCCGATATATTTTGATAGCCACGGGGGAACCAAGCCTGCGGTCGATGCCCTTGTAGACCCGAGCCGCCCGGCCCTCGCCCAAGACATCGTGAGTTGAGTATGTGTACCTCTTCGCGATGATTGCTAGGTTCACTTGGAAACATCTTCCATGGAGAGTGAGACGTCAGATTCCATGCAAGCGGCCTTCCCTGCAGTGTTGCTTGCAAAGGCCGGCCAGGTGTGCTGCAGCCGTGCAGCATCCAAGCTGCAGGGAAATGGCATGTTTGCGGCACTGACGGTCTCTAACGGATGGCGATACCTTGCTGTGGGCCGCTTCTCGATCTGGACACTTTCGTCCGGGAGGTGTGCATGGAGTTTTTGCAAGAGGTGCTCAAAGTTGTTACTAGCATTCCTGCGTACATGCCTCAGTGAACTGACAAGATTTCTGAGGCTTTTCCTGCTCAAATGGCTGTGGAGCGGAGCAACTGCCTTTTGGCACGGCACCCGAAAGACAACACAAGCACAAAATGCGCTGCAAGCCCTCCTGCTAGCGGGTTGCCGACTTCGGGTCGGTTGCATTTTTGGCCTGGCACCCCAGCAGTTTTTCTGCTACTCTGGCAGCTCGCAACCACTTGACTGCATGCCCAGTCCTCGCTAGGCCCTCTCCAATGTGGCGCACCCCTGAGCTGTGCCTGCTCCTTCCGTCGGGCTGGCATCATTGTGACGTAGGCCTGCCGGGGTACATGCAAGATCAGCAAGGAGACGTTATCTCACCGGTGCCAGTCGGGTGTGCACACGATGACCTCTGGCTTTGCGGCCTTGCCCATGTCGGTAAGAGGTCGGTCGTGGACGGCTTCATTGAATGCATAGACCGGTGTGCGGGAGGTAATGTGTTTGATGTAGGCCTGGCCGCCGAGGGTTTCAACTCCTCTCGGTCGCTCTCTCTCCTTTCTTTCTCTTTCTTTCGCCAGGGCAGGGGTGGCGGTTGACTCCCCAAGAGCACGCTAGTGACTAGTGCACCCCCGCCTATTGCGGGTGCAAAGAAGTTGCATCACAGCACACTCGAAGGCTTGGACAACCATAATCATAAACAGGACCATGAATTGAAGTGTAAGTCAGACATAAGAAACACCACTCTTCATGACCAAGCTGCCGCGATCGTGAGGTACTCCTTTCATCTCACTTTAACGTTCCTTCTGCTTCGAAAAGTTGTGTAGTCACCTCTTGCTTGCTTGGGGTTTGGGGTCGAGGACCCCCGGCGTGTAGGCCAACCCCTCGAAGCTCACGTCTGTGCGTCTTCGAGGCCCCTGTTCGCTCCATCTCTCTCTTTTTCTTTCGCCAGGGCTAGGGACGAAAGGGGCAAGCCACCCTTACCCGCGCGCGTTAGCGCCCCCGACTGTTGCGCAGCCCTGAAACCACCTCTATTTGCTTAGCAGGCTGACTAAGTCTCAAGCGGGTTCGTCCGGCACCGTCGGCGTCACCTGCTGCGGACCACAGTTCATTGCCCACAACCTTTGAGATCTCGGCCTTCTTCTTTACGAACTGCGTCATGTTGGCACGTTCGCGTTCAGCCATGATCTCTGCATACCTCTCAATCCACGAGACCCTACGTAGGCCTGTCAATAACATGTACTGCGAGTGTCTTGGGGAATCACCTCCGATACATCGGTCCAAGATACCATTCGAATTGCGGCAGACCTTTTTTGTAGACTGAAAGCTGAGTCCATACAGTCGCATTCTGTCCCAATCAAAAGCTCGCTTGATTCAGCTGAGGCTCGCAAGCGGCAAGCCTGCAGCTTCGCAGTTTTGCCTGCGATGACAGCCCGCTTGCCCCGAAGATGACCCGAAATGCATCTGGATACCCTGGACACACATGCCAGAAGAAGCCTTCCTGACTGCGAGCCGTGTTGGATGCCTCGACTCAGCAGCACCAAGGTCTTCAATCATTCCAACATGCAGCGGCTCATGGTGGAGGCTCGGGCCCCGACCGAAGGAAGGACTGAGGTCATTGCTGCCATGGGGACCTCGTAAACAGGAAGTATGGAACCCTTCGCAAGCAAGTTGGTAGAGCCGGTGGAATAGCTGGGGAAAGGTCTTGAAGGCACAGCAGCCAGGAAGGATGCTTGGCTTCCCTCCCATGTCCCTTGTTGTCCCAAGACGGCTTCTCAGCTGCACAGACCCCTCTTGTTGCTCAAGCGTTCGTTTTGCACACATCCGAAAAGCGGCCCTGCATCACACACGGACTTGGCTCGCCATTTTCTGTAGCGAACATCAAGCGGCGACGACATCACGCGGGCGAAACTGGCCGTCGTCACTCAGACAGTCCAGGAATTCGTCGTCATCTGCATCCTTGGCGTCCTCGCGCTTCTCCTTTTCGCCAGGCTTTTCGGCCTTCTTGGCCTTGACGGCCTTGGCCTCCTTGGCCTGGGCGCCAGAGATGGCGCCATAGCCGGCATCCTCCAAAAAGTCCTCTGCGCCCGGTGACAAGTCGATGGGTGACCCGTCGGGTGAAAAGTCATCTGGTGCCAGGCCAGCCTCCCTCTTCAGCGAAGCCAGCAAGCTTTCGAACTCCTAGGCTGCAATATGACGCGAACAAGGCATACGCAACCTAGCGCCATTGGCATTGATTGTCGTGTAATATCAAATTTTGCTTGGGTTTCCTGGTCCACTTGAACCATGACAGTTTGTGTCTCAATAGCGTTCATCTCTTTCGTTCATGTACATCTTAAACTATACCTGTATATATATATATACACATACATATATGTATATATGTATATATGTATATGTGTATATATATATATATAATCTGTGTGTGGGTACATACTTACTTACTTTTGTTTATTTTTATTTACTTTTTTGGAGTCTTTTTTGGTTTAGATATTTATAGCTCTTTCTTTTAACTGATTTCCGATTTGCATTGACTCATATAAGTTATATTCATATTTACATCTCTGTTGCAACTTCTATTTCTACTCATATGTATACTTAACTTTATATTTCAGTATTATAGAATTGTATTTGTATTATGCTGGTATTTCTATGTTTAACCTTCTATGTCTTTTTCTGCTTATGTTCAATTCTATGCACGTGCGTTTGTCTATTTATGTTTAACCTAGATATATCAGGTGTATATAAACTTACATCCCCCACACCCAGTCAGTCCATGAGACACTGCACTCAAGGGAGTGGTCGCAGGTCCAATGCTCGAACATGAAAGACTGCACCCCCGAAACAGTTGTCGCACTTATAACACAACGTACAGCAACGTCCCCGGAGCATGCAGGGCGACAGGCCCGCACCTGGCCCATATGGCCCCTGTGCGCATGAAAGGTCGACACCTGCTCTTCGGCACTGCCAACATCTGCCAACTGTTCGGTTGTAGAACAAACTACGCAAGGAGATGAGAAGATGCCGCAGGGAGCATCCGACCGTGTGTGCTTAGCTGCGAGAAAGAGTCGGTGTTGGACTGCTCCATGCGAGCTGGTCCAGGGAGCTTGGGGCTGGAATCTTGAAGCAGGTCCTCGTCTTGAAGCTGCTGTTTCTTCATTTTCTGCTTCGCTCTCCTCAGAGGTCAGAACAGCTTCGTACCAGAAACCATGTCATTCTCAGCCAGTGCGTCCAACGAGCTGTCGCTGCTTCCGGGTCTTTTGCTGCTCCACGTGCGCCGCCTGGGCTGTTGCTCATGAAGTGGCTGCCAGCTGCCCCTAGCACACCTAACTGGTTGTCCAGGTTTCGGTCAATGCTTAATCCACCGGACTGGACTGAACGCTTTCGAGTGGCATACTCCTGCCTTTCCGCCTCTGATGCGATTGGCTTCTCGACTGCTTTCCTTACCAGGTCGTCTCGAGCCCATCTGTCGACTTCCTGAAGACAGGTCGGCAGAGCGAGATGCCATTAGGCAGTGTGTTGAAGTAGCTTCGAAGATCTGATCTAACCTATGCGATCGTCCGCCGCAGTAAATCGCAGGAACCTATCCGTAACCCGTGTGGCAGCGAATGAGCAAACTGCGCAGCTTTGCTGCTGTCAAGAATCCTTGTAGTGCGGTGACCACTTCTGAATGCCGATGATGGGCATGGCAGGTGCAATGCCGTAGATCAGAAAAACTAGTTCCGACATAGGCATGTAACCCGTGGTGTACTTTTTGAGCATATCACCCTTCAGCTTCAGTTTGTCGATGTCGTGCTGCCGGTTCCGCAAAACACCTCGTCGAGATTTCCGTGGCCGCACAAAGACACAGTAAAGGCAAACGCATGTGTCCTTAAAGTCTTCCTTCAGGCTTGCCAAGCGGCGGCTCAGATTTTCAAACCACCACTTGAAGCGTGTTCTTTGCTCCTCCGGCAACTTGCTCTTGTCTTCCCTGGCATGAAGCAGCAAAACACTTTGCAGATCTACGCACGGAGTGCTGAAGTAGACCGGGTGAACTCAGGAACTGGATCGAGGAAAAGCCTGTTCGAGTCTTGTGGTACGAGTCTTTTGAAACCTCGCGGAAAAAGGGCCGCGCGCTTCATATCATAGCCGTGCCAAGCATGGCAGCCGAAGAATGACCCGGACTCTATAGCAAACACCAACATTGTAAATAACTCTGGGGAAGGGCAAGTCATTCATAGGCTTTACGCAAAAACTCCTTCCTCCAAGGAACATTCGACGAGCACGATGTGGGAGCCAAGTCTGCTGAAAAAGGGGAGCTGAACTGCTGCAAGGGGCCAAACTTTCGGATCCTTCCACTTCGATTGCGGGTAACCAAACATCCAAGCGGCCTGCCGTCCCTGCTATCTTTGAAGGAGTCCACTGAAAAGACTACGCCTGCTAAAACTTACGTGGCACCAGACCTTCCAAAACATTCTCTGCAAATATCTACATATGCTTTTTAGCACAGGGTGCTTTACAAAGGCCGCTAATCTTGGGAGCCGCGATTCGAAAGCATTTCCGCGGCGGGGCATGCGTGGTTCCGGCAGCTCAAAACCACCCAGTGGGCGTGCGTCTAACTGCGGCTACGGCCCTACATGCACTGGAATGGTTCCCGGTGGAACCCAAAGAGACCTACTCAACCAAGAAGCAAACAACAGAACATTAGCGACAGTACAGAAAAACTCACGTCATGACATGGCAGCTTCAGAAGCGTGGAATGAAGTGCAGATGGAATCCTCTCAACCCGAAACTTGCGAGGCCAGTTTGTAACATTTTTGACGATGCGAACCGAGCTGGAGCACTCCCCCTTCACGATTGAAGTTTGGGCACTGTGGCTGCAGGGCTTGGGCAAGAATGCTCCTCCTCAAAGTGTTGTCTAACACTGGAAGTTCTCTCCATTAAGTACCCGTTTTCTGCTTGTTGGCATACGAGCACACTTGCCACCCGAAAGGTTCAGGAGCACAGCATTCGATAATGGGTGCGCCTAGACAGTACCGGGCAAGTAGCTCATCAAAGAACTCTACTCTACTGGATACTGTTTCCCCCGTCCCCACTCACCCACCACCGCCCTTCCTCACCACTCCCCAAGATGCTGCCTGCCGCCGGAAGAGGAAAGTTGTATCCAAATCCAGCCGCGCCCGAGAGAGCGGAAGAGCGCAGCCCTCGCATCGGTCGCAATGATCCTGAGTGCAGGGGGTCTCCAACAGATGAGAGTGGCTGCTTCTGGTGTTTGGATGAGCGGATCAACAAAGCGATGTATATGCCGCGAGGTAGAGTATCCATACCTCCGCAGAAGCTACAAAGCCACTGTATTTCGGTGCATGTTAACTCGGAAGCACCCTACCAGTACCAGTAGTAACAAAAAATCGTCTGGCAATCAAAAACGTAATGAATCTAACGATGTGTCTGCTTCGATATCCAATGAAAGAGCACGCTCATCGCCTCATCGATCCATGCATTTACCGCAGTTTCATCACACCGACAGCTCCTGCTTCTCCCGAAAACAGCCTCGGCCAGCAGTGTAAGTTGGAACCTTAATACTGGGAGCTTCATACTGGAAGACAAGTCAATGTCTCTTTTCTTCAAAAGCAAGGCACGCGCATCTGGGGGTTGAAATTGATCCAGCGCGCCTCTGTGGATGAGAACGAGATCCAATCAGGATCTGGACCTGATCTGGCATGCTTTGTAAGACATCAGTGAAAGCTATTATGCGCAGTCAAGTTGTGCGCTGAGCTACGCATGACTTCCTTCAATCGCTGGATGTCATCTCGATCCAACTCCAGTGAAGGCTTGTCGTCGGACAGCGGCTCATCTGCCATTTGGCAGCGCGCTTTTGTCTTACTCAAAGATCACAAGTAATGTGGGGAGGCACAGGTCCAGCTGCAAGTTGCTGAACCTTTTTCTGAAGCTGTCAGGTTCCAGGGTTATGTGTATGTAGGGTGGGTGCTAGAGGCTGTGCACTTCGTTTGTCATGGGCCTAGCGCCTAGCGCTGCGATCCTCGGGCCAACGGAACTGCGAACGCTTTCCTCTCGGAGCATGCCAAAACAAGCGCATTGACATGGAAGCCCTTTGGAAACTCATTTCCGGCAGCATTTTCCTGCCGGTGTTGCCGCACGAAGCCAAACCCCTTCTAGCCTTCATTGCTGGAGCGCATCTGGGACTGGCAGGCACACAAGCGACCTCTCACCCCGATATTCTGTCCAAGAGTGGCGTAGCAAAACCATCAGAAGAGTATTGTCTGAGCAGGTCACGTACAGCACTCATGCCTGCAGTGCTCCCCACCGGCGCACAGTTCTGCCCAGTCCGTTGATGCATATCACACCGGATGGACGGAATGATCAGAAATAACGCATTTCTGTACATCTCTTGCTGCTAGCACTGGGATGTGACATTGGTTTATCAATTCAGTTGGCTTTTCCGATTGCCCCAACAGCAAAGGCAACACGATCAACCAGCTCCGCCTTCGAACCCTTCGTGGGCCACGCTTGGGATTGCAGCCAGCTGGCAAGCAATCCTCTACTCTGCTTTCGAAGCCACGCACAAAGTTCAGCTGCACCATCTGGCCTCTTCAGAAGTGAATGTGCTGTCGCCTCGAAGTCCTTACATTGCTTAGCAGACGCCTTGGCCGGTGTGCTCTTGGCAGAATCGGCCTTGTCGGCCTTGCCCCTAGAAGGGGATGTTAGAACTTCACCGACCGGAGCAGCAGGACCACGCAGCGGCACACTGATGGTTGCCCACTTCGACTGGCCAGCTTCATTGGCAGCTGCCACATACACGCAAGCAGCGGACTGCTGGAAGAAGGCAGGCATCTTGACCAAGTCTTCTTCGGCGAGGACACAGCTAGTGAGTTCTTCCAGCGACAAATATCTCTTAAGTTCATCGTTGTACTCCGGCTCAAGCACTGTTATGGTGAGCGGCTGGCCAAACGAGGGATCCAAAGCCGCAACTAAATACTTGCGAATAGGCGACGACACCGCTGTTGGAGACTGCCAACTAACTCGGATGCGTCTGCGGCCAGGCGCAGCGCAAAGCACCGCTGATGTTAGCCGCATCGGCGCTGCAGGCGGGTGAAGCTCCGCAAATTTCATCTTGTGTTCACAGAGCTGCTTGGCTTTTCGGAGCTCGTCCATTGCCTCGGTGGCTCCGTCGCAGGCTCCGATGCGATCGGGGTGGAGCTTGCGCATCAGCGAACGAAAAGCCTGGTGAACGAGGGAGACTTCAGCCGCCGCTGCATCCAGGCCTAGCACTGCCTTGGCCCATGCTAGTTCTGATCTGAAAGCGCGTTTTCCTTCCTGTAGCTGCAGGATCCTGGCAACCTCTTCTGATGCCTCCTGCTCGCGCATCTGCAGAAGGTCTGCCTGTCACGTGTGCTTAAATCAACTCGCCCTCACCCCAAGCCAGTCAACACACCCCTGCAAAATGAGCAAAACATGTGGCAGTGCCTGCACAGCTTGATCGTCACGAACATCGGAAGAAGCAGCCGTCGTCGATGACTTCGCTGTCGCTGATGTTGCCCTGTCGCAATGCAAATCTGCAGGTCTGACTGAACGAGAAAGCGGCACGAGCATGAAACATGACTCTGACCTTTCTGCCGGCCTGTCGCCAGCTCCATCTGCAGGAAGCTGCATCGAGGCGTCCTGAAGGGAGTGTCTTTTGCAAGTGAAGGAACGCTACTTTTCGCACTACATCGCTTGGGGACACATAAGTTTTCGGCCGGCCGCCCGGTGATACATGGTGGTATGAAGCACAAGATGGCTCTGCGGCCTCCTCCTTCACAGTCGATGGTGACAGGTCAAGCCTCTTGCCTTGAACAGGTTCACCAATTGCTTAAAGTCACTACAAGCAGCAGGGGGAAATAAGGAAACTGAGCTTGGCGCGCAAGTCTGAGCGGCACGGGCTTCGGCAAGGTGTTGCCACGTAGGACTTGTCTCCACAAGGTGGAGAGCTCTGAAAAAGCAATTTCTGCTGGGCACAGAACTTGGGCACGTTGCCCTTCAGGGACTCGCGAGCCTGCGGTGACTGAAATCGTTGCAAGATGTCGGTTGCTGCTCCCCTTTCAATCGGCATATGCTTCTCGCCAGAGCGCCCCACGCTCTTCCCGGGTCCCACCGAGCCAACATAGCCCGACTTTGCAACAGCTTTCCAGACCCCCGGCTGTACAGGTGCCTGCGGTGTTGCGAGCATCTCTGCTCCTCGAGCAGCGAGCCGCTGCCGCAAGGACGGCTTCACCTAAGAGCTCGGACTCCGAATTGCGCATAGTTGCAAGCTGCTTGAGCCAGCTCTGCGATGCCGGGGCTGTGGCTGTGCTGGAGACTCCGACGTCGCTCATGTCGCTCTGCTGGTCCTCGCACTGAAAAATCAAGCTTACCACACAGGCTCTGGATCTCTGGAACTGAAACGTCCTCCGGCAGCACGGAACTGTCAGTCTGCGCTGGGGACCTCGATCGATCGCGCAATCCACCTGACCACCAACCAAAAAATTGGAGGCCGCTAGTTTAGCAGAAAGATCTGGCCTTCAGCTTCCTTGGATCGCATCCAAAAACTTAACGTCTGTTGGCCACCGCCTTTGGCACACAAAAACCTGAAGTCCCTTGCTGCTTGTTCTCGTGGTGGCGACCTGCTGGTCCTCTCTTGCCGCGTCTCGGCGCCATCGCACAATGCTAAGCGATGTGCACATGCAGGACTCGGCTTCTGCTGTTCGCTGTGGCAATCCGCCTAGATGAGCTCGGCCCCTAAATAAAACACTGAGATGCGAGGTGTGCTGTTGAAGACATCCGATTTTCATGCTTGTAGGCAAGCAGGAGTTTCCTGTTCTCAGATGCATGGTCCCCAGCCCATCATGTTATCCAGAGCTGACTTGCCTGTCGAACAGTCAATGTGACAAGCTCTGCTCCAAATCTTGCAGGTCAAGGGGTTTTCCATTTCTTGCTACCGTACAGTACTTGGGTAAGAGATGGCAGGGAACAACACCTCTGACATAGACTTGTAACATCTCCGATTGCACAGGAAATCACTTGCTTTTGCAACAGCAGCATCAGCTCGCGAGTATGGCACGGCTTCTCTGACAATTTGGAAAATATGGAAAATCCACATGTGCAACTGTCTCCGATGTAACCATGGCATGGTCGTCTTGGAGGCTCTTGCCGCTGTACCCTTTGCCATCGAGTTGCCTTGGCCGAACGGTTGCAGCTGCAACATCAAGCTACGGTCTCATCTTGGTTCACTTTGCCTACACACCGCCTGCGGATCAACCCGGTCCCAACAAAAACAGCACCAGCATGCAAGCAAGTCGCTCGACGGCGAAGATGCGAGAGTTCTGTGTTAGTGTTGCGCCGCCAGCGGGCCAATACTGAGCAGCACTGCTGCATGGGCTGGGACGAGAGCTTACGCGTCCATTCAAGCAACCAACTCTTGCCACACCCATGGAGCAGCCCAGTCTCCAATTACATGATTCTGAATCTCCGTCTGTACAAAGCCTTTCCTGTGGAAAGGGCCCATCTACTAATTCTACGTGAATGCCAACTACATGTGGAATGCAGCGAAGCCGGCAGACGTTGAACGTTGAAAAATCTGGCAGCGCCTACGCATTCCAAGTGAAAAATCATGCCCAAAGGGCAAAGGGTCTCCAGAGCTAATGTGGCCTTGCAGCGCACTGGCATGGAATTCCTGCAATCACTAACTTGGACAAGCCAAAGCAACTTCTTCATGGGATTAGGTTTTGCAGCTCGGAGTTTGGAGGCCTGCCTTTGACAATAAAGCATGACAGCTGGAAGAGCAAAACTCTGTGTGTTGGTGCGGTGATTATCGATTGAAGGATCTCCAGCTGTTCAATGCACATGCTTGTCGCCGCCGATTTGCCCAAGCCTCCTGCCCTCGAGTGAACTGAGGCCAGTAGCTGCAGCATCGTTTGTGCAGCAGAGCATGTGAGATGCGGTCACAGGCACCCTGCACGAGAAGGTGAAGGATGTCAGACTTCGACGTTGAACGCCGCGACCATCACATTGTTATCCTTCGCCTGGCATTACCGAGATACATGAGATACATTGAAGGAGCTTACATCAAACTGGAAGTGCTGCCTCCTGGACCAAGCCGAGGTATTTGTCGGATCGGTGGGTGGCAAAAACCACCAATCTGCAAGAGGGCATGTGCGGGCATGATTGAAGCTCCTCTAGAACCCTCTGCCTGCACCACATGTCGCGGCCTCTAAACAATCCAACAATCTACGGTTTGTCGACCTGCGTAATGCCGGCCTGTCTACTTGACCCAGGATACGCGTGTTGCACCTGCAATGCAAAAAATCCACGGGAGCGGTTGAGTAGGCGAGGCCCTATCAAGAATCTTCGGCACATCGCCGGGCAGACGGTACTCTCGAGACCCATTCTCTCATGCCACGGCACTTCGCAGCCGCAGCAGCGAGCTCCAGATGGTCACATTCCCTGTGTGGACATATCGTTACGCCTTCCTCCTTGCATCTCTCCAGCAGCACCTGAGGAAGGTGTGAGTCGACTCGGCAGTGAATGTCACAATTCGCCGGCCTGAACCTCGTCGTCTTGCTTTCCCAAGCTTTGTGGAAGCTCAACTGTCAGCAACTCGGGCCTCCCGTGGGCACCGATGATGCTGATCAACATCCATTGCTTCACGGTGGTGGCTTCGGCATGTTCAGTTTGCTTGATCACTGGGATAGCCTGTGGGGTGGTGCCTTGGTTAGTCGGGAACGCCACATACAAGCCTGGAGAAGCGCAGAGTCGTTCATGCTATACCGGGAGTGGCTCACCCCCTTCGATCTGCTGAACACATCTGAACACTACGTATGGTTCTGATCTTTGGCAGGGCATCATGCACTCGGCGCTCCCAGCCGCCCAGCCTTCCTTTGTCTAGGACCGCCTTGATCACTGCCGAGTTTGTGCCGCTGGACCTGGGCAACGCGGCTCAAACCTGCAGGTAGAAGTAAAAACAGTAGGGACGGCATGGGACGGCGTTCGCACCGTTCCAACTTCTCAGAGTTGCTTCGTAGCCTGTCAGCACATGCTGAGCCTGTGACCCGGATGTGAAGATGCGATGCCCTCTTTCCACGTGCCCCTGGCATCTGCTTGCCCAATTGAACTTCCGGGGTTTGAATCATCCTGTGATCGAAACGCCGTGTCTCTGCAAGTCTGCAACGGAACGGCGGGGGCTTACCGACGAGTTGCTCAACAAGCAAGCACACATTGACTAGCAGACCGAATCCCATGCATGCCTGCGTGAGTGCTTCGATCTCCTGCGCGCACACGCACTTTCTTGACATGATGTCTCAAACTGACGGCCAAGCTGGGCGGGGGTACTGCACAAACCCATGCAACACAAAGTGCTGATTTTTTCCCCATGGCCTGCTGGTGATTGTAGGTGCAATCTCGTGTGCCCAAAATGGCGACGTTCTGCTGCGGGTTTGTAAGTCGAGCAAGCTCCTGCGAACTGTGATTGAAACAGCACACTGCTTCATGGAGCCATTTGCCTCACATCCCAGTAACAAGGTAATAACTTACACTGAGACGCAAGCAGCACCTCCAACAGGCGCGTTTTATACACCAAAACAGGTTGATCCGCGTATGGCCTCTTCCGGAGATGTGTCGTTGAAATCCTGCTGTCAAGGCGATACCGCGGCTTTGAGTGTGGGTGGTGCATGACGATGGACCGACCTTTTCCAAGGTGGCTGTTTGGTTTGAGGACCTGGGAATCACATGTTCGAACAGATCTTACAAGCAAGCTACACACACAAAACGATGGCAGCACGCACTCTGATGCACCTACATTTATTCAGCTGCGGTGCTTCTGCCGGCCGCCCAGCAATCCCAGTGGCCATTGCAGATTGCGAAGGAACCCAGCACGACCAACAACGTCCTACAACATCTGATGCAATGTATGCGGCATACTTGGATCGGTCCCAACCTGGGCACGCAGCTTCAAACGAGCACTGCCTGCACAGGGCCTGCGGACGAGTCCATGACAAACTACATGGCCACTGTGGAAGGAAGCATCTCCGCGAAGCCGAGCATGCCGAGCCTCCAAGGCTGATGAAGTCGGTTCCAGATTCGACGGCTGCAGAGTCCGAGGCCTCACTCTGTAAGTGTGACTGCCAATCCGGTCCGGCGCTTTGCACGACATAGAGAATCCAGCACGAAACTTGTTTGTTTTGTTTTTCGTCAGTCCCAATGCACCCTGCGAAGCTACATTTCGGCGCCTGCCGGCCCAAAAACAGCGCGCGGGAAAGCAGGAAGGAAAAGGAAAGGGCGCACGAGTAAGCGGTGGCGATAGCAGCCGCAGTCGTGCTGCATCATGGTGCACTTCAAGGGAACCACAGCATGGTTGCAGGTAGCCGCTGCAGTGCTACAGGTAACCCAATTTTGGAGCCGAAAGGCCCTCGCACTGCGGCCGTGCGGTATGGGCTTGGAACGAGCTGCTCTGTGACGTCAAGGAAAACCGAGAAGCTATTCTGGCCCAAGCCATCTTGCCGCGCTGGAAGCCCTCCAATTTCCCAGCTCTTGCCGCCAAGCACCTCGATGCAGCCTTGAATTGGACCTTGCTCCCATTGCTGAGGATGGTTATGCGTTGGAGTTATCCGGGACAGACTGTTGATGATGGCGTGTTGGGTACACCGAGCACCAGTCACCCCCTTCCGCATGCACGGCTGCTGCGGGAGAGATCCTGCCGTGTGTATGTTTTAGGGGGGCGCATGCGCTAGCGATGCTCGCCGTTGCGACCGGGCAATCGCTTGCGCAGCCCTGTGCTGCTGCACATGATGGATCCGCCCTGCGGGTCGCCGAGCGCCGAAAGAGAGCGCGTACCCGGAACTGAACGGCGGCCCCCAACAACTCGTGGTGCTCGGGAGTGACGTCGGCGGACGCTGGAATGGCGGTGCGCACCAGCTGGTCCGAGACCTCGTTCGTGTCCGTGCCCAGCGAGCTCCGCCAACCGTGCGAAGCGCCGCTTCGTCGGCATGGGCCAGGCGTTGGTGGGCCATGCTGGCCGTGTCGGTGCAACAAGCCGTCACGAGCACTGCCCTCGGGTCAGCTTGGCCGGGGCCCCTCCACGCGAGCCAACAGTCGGCCCCAGAGCTGGACCGCGTGCTGGACCCTACTGACGCAGGGGGGCCGAGCCGCCTGCCGCTACGCGGCCTCTAGGGACGTCATAGGGTAGGAGGCTGCGCTGAAACGAGCGGCGGAACCGTCAGACTCATGCCGAGGAAGAAGGCCAATAATCCACAATCATCGCGTCCACCCTAAAGCCGCAGCAACGCGCAGTGCGGGAGGCGCTCTGCACGCCCGCGTCGCTGTTGAAGCGTCTGCCAACCTCGCTGAATCTTTGCGGCCCTTTGCTCCGGAATTCCGGGTAGATCGCGGCCTTGCGTCGTTCTGCTGTGTGGTTGCCCGATGTGTGTGAGCGGCGACACCAGTGTGGCATCGCAGCACAGCACCGTGCCGTCAGTCCTGGCCCGCACGGGCATGGATGACCGGCAAAGCATCCGCCAGACCTGCCCAGTACGATGCCGCGCTCATGCGCTCCAGCCTCTGGCCACCCAAACGGGCTTGCAGCATCGCGAAATGTTGCGTGTGCGCCGCATCTGCTTCGGCGGCGCCCGCACGGCCTGGTCATGTGTTCGCGCACAAGCTTAGATTTCCGACGGTGGAACCGTGCATGCGCAAGGCATGGTTTGCATGGGGGGACCCGCACAGCAGCAGCAGCAGCAGCAGCAACAGCCAAGAACGCCGCAAGTCAATTGTGCAAGTCGGAAAGTTTGGGTGACTGATTAGGCGGCGCGAAAGTGCGTGGCTAAGGCATCTCTGCCGGCCCTGGCCTACAGCCAGCGCGCAAAAGCCGTTCGAAAAACCAAGCGCCGAAATGCGCCGAATCGCATCGCCGGTTCCGTCCTGCGCAACGCCGTCAGTCGTGTGTCCGGGCAAGCCCGGCTGCAATATCAGAGGCAGTTCGCGCCCGCACCCAGCGAGTAGCAGCTTTCAGTAAACAGGTCCACGGTGTTGAGGTCCTGCAACACGAGTTGTTTTTTTTTCCGCGCACCTTTTTCCGACTGGTCCGCCTGTGCGTCGGCGGAGTTAGCTGCTAGCTACGGGACTCCTACGGCGGCTCCGCCAGGAGCTCTCTCCCAGCGGCAGCTCTGCGCCGTCGGCCGAATCGGCAGCTCCAGCAGGCTCTGCGCGTGTGCGCGCAGGGCCGCGAGCGCTG